AGTTCATTCAGGAGGTCTGATCCAGGTTTTGTTGACAGCATTAAATATTAGACAATGTGTCTTCGATCCCTCGCTATACAGTACAACCTCTCTGGGAAAATGTGTACAGTATGACTGTTTAAGCAAGAAAGCCCTAAAACAATTCAATTGCATTTGTCTTGCCTACAGTGAAAAAAAAATTTTTTTGGGTGTAGTAACATTTATTTAATTATTGTTTTAAATTTTACAAAAAATATAAAAATTTCTAAACTACTAGAATTTACTAAATAAACAATATGCATTATTATAAATGCATACATATTGATATAGTAATATATCAATATTACTGTACAAACATGTACATGCTATATTATTTTACCAGTAACATTTAAGTGTTTTTTTCTGGACAGCACATAAACATGAATATATAAAGTAACTTCTACTCTTCTGGGATAAAACTGAGGGTGCATGTGCACACAAAGGCTGCTGCTCCTCATTCCCTTGCTTCACTTTTCAAGGAGAGGACAAGACATGGTCGAAATAAAACATWAGTTGTCTGGTTTCTTTTGCTTGAATACATTTGTTGGTGTGCAATAGTTTGATGGCATAATGTAGGTGATATTTWGTTGTCAGGGAACAGGGAATGCATATTGTAGCATTCTGCTGTGTTTGGCTGTTTGTCATGTGACTGCAGTGGAGGATTGTGGGTTAGGATTCATGTTTGTTGTTGTTAAATCATCGTAGGGAATTGGTTAACATTGTTCTTTCAGTAACTAGTCTGTTGTGTTACTCTAATTTGTGTTTGTTATTTGTTAACTTGTGTTAAACCATTCAGCAGAAGTAACCATAAGTGAGAGTGGTAGGCTTAGTCATTAAAAGACCTGTGAGTTTCAATTGTCTGTGTTGTTCATGAAGAAGAATCCATTAAAGGTTCTTCAAAACTTCCACCTGGTGGTGAAGTCTTGAACTACAGCAAGAGCTACACCTCTCTCTGTAGCTGTGAGGTGTACAATATTGTGCTTGATGCATGTGCACTGTTAAGAACTTGTAAGATTTACTAGAAAAAAATCCTTGTAACAATTTGCATTAATGTTTAAGTAAATTTAAATGCTACAAATTCATGTAGTATTTACTAGAGGTGTCCCGATACCGATACCGGTATCGGTATCGGGTCCGATACCAGCATCAAGTACTCGTACTCGTAAAAGCCGGCCGATACTCTTAACCAATACCGCTTTTGTCCCCTTTTTTGTTCCTCCTGTGCTGCGCTGCAGCACAAAGGGTAAACAACAATCCATACCAGGCGGGGGCGCTAACGCACTGACACGTTATTTCCGACCGCACCCCCGAATAACAGAAGAAGAACGATGAGAAGAAGAAGAAGTAACTTGTCGGCAGTTTGGAGATATTTTAAGATCGGCCACCAAACGAGGACACAAACCAGCAGACTGCTGTGCTCTGCTAACTGTCAAGAGGAGGAGCGAAAGTTGGATGTTTTAACAGCAGCAATTTGATTCAACATTTGAGGACAAGACATGACAAAGAATTCAAAGAGTTTGCTGCTGCTAGCAGTAGCCTTCATAAACAGCACTGTTGTTGCAGTAACTTCAATGCTGTTTTTTCTTTCTTGTAGAACAAACTAAGACATAAGCAGAATATGGAAGGAAGTTTGTTGTAAAAGCATTTTATTTTTCACTCTGGTTCTTCTGAGATTTTGTTTTAGTTGTTCCATTTAAGTTTGAACTGAAATTTACTGCACTTTATTACTATTAGTCATTTTTTAACAGTTTAAGACTGAAGCAGAGTAAACTTCTAGAGATGTGCTGCTAAAATTTACATTTTACATTTTAATTTAAATTTGGTAGTTGCATGTTGAGGAAAATGTATAAAAATAACTTATTTTGTTTTTTAATGTATGCAACAGCATTTGTTTTGCAGTATTTGTTTTGTTAATATATTCAGAGGGAGTGTGGCCTTATAAAAAAAGAGCCTGTTTGAAATAAAATAAATGGTTTCAAAAGTTATGGTGTGATATATTTACCAACTTATCTACTTGTCAGAGTTTGCACTACCTTTTTATTGTCAAACATAATATTTACCCATCAATTTTTGCACGATAATTGCATTTCATTTTCATTCTGGTTAATATTCAACAAGTTGAACAGATAATCCACACGAACCCCGCTACTTGGTATCGGTATCGGTATCGGCGAGTACCTAAACTGAAGTACTCGTACTTGTACTCAGTCTTGAAAAAACTGGTATCGGGACACCCCTAGTATTTACTCATCATTATCCAGTTAAAGTTATTATGAATATAGTTAAAGATTTGTGAATAAATCAGGTAAATTTTACTTAATTTAATCAAGTATAAGTTACAAGATTTAATTGAGCAAATTAAGTAAAATTTATCTGATTTATTCACAAATATTTAACTATATTCTTAATAACTTTTACTAGATAATGATGAGAGTAAAAATTACATGAATTTGTAGCATTTAAATTTACTTACCAAACGTTAGTGCAAATCGTTTACAGGATTTTCTCTAGTAAATCTTACAAGTTATTTTTACAGTGTGTAAAGTTGCACACCAAATCATTTTGTATTTAATACCTTAGGAGTACCTGCCCTAAATCTGCAGGTTAGAGCCCAGGTTGCATCAGAGAATGCATCTGTTATAAAATTGCCAGGTTTTTCAAGTGACCCCTTCAGAAGGAAGCAGCCGAAAGAAAAAAAAATCAGCAGCATTGCTTTTTCATTAGACCACGAATGAGTGGGGAATAAGCCGAAACTCTGGGCGATCTGAAAGGGCAACAGACGGGAAAGGATTTCCAGGACACTACTGTATCTAATGACTACAACAGATCCATATCGGGCCAAGTGTCCCAGGAGAGAATGCAAATAACAAATATGGAGCCAGTGCATAATTACTCACCAGCAGTAGAGTTACACAAGCAAGTGTGCTGATTTCATCCCACTGTACAACTGTGTAGGTGTGCATTAGCCATGTTCCTCCATGTAGCTTAATCCTCACCAATCCCTCAAGGAGTTTTTTATTCCCCTTTTGTCATAAGGTTTTACTGTTACCATCAACCTTATTATCTGCACTTCCTCAGGTTTGGAAACATTTTAGGTTTTTGACCTTTCCTTCCTTGCCTCTCAGTCTCATACTGTCATTCCGTTTAACATAAAGAACTGCACTTAAGACCACTAAAATGAGTAATCGTCGTTATATTATAGAGTTCACTAACAGTAAATAAGCTGTCAGTGGGATAAAGTGGGTGTCAAACTGTATGAATAGACCAAGCAAGAAATAGATGCTTAAGGGCACACAGAGTTCCAACGCAGACATAGTCTAAAAAGCACTTAATTATAATAAGCTGGAACATGGAGCAAGTGTTAGARGGCTTGGGGGGGTGGGGGAGTTGGAGGGCTTGAAGACAGCGACAGCAGTCCAGTGCCAGATACATGAATTGGAGAATACTCTGGGATGGGGCCAACATTAGATCTGTGTTAGAGGAACAAGAAGGGATTTTTTGTTGTTGTTGTTTTCTGTAGATGCAACCAGATGTTGATAGACACAAATATATTGAGCATAAAGTCCTTTCTTTTGTTGATATCATTAAACTCCAGAGTATTTTATCTATTAGGGTATCAAAAGTGCCTACAATGGTATTGTCATCAGGTTTAACAAATGTGAGAAATACTTTATAAATTCAAAGATTTCTGTTTTAACATCTGTTAATGATTCTATTGTTAATTAATGGTGTGATTCTGTTTAGCTAATGGTTCACAGTATCTATCGGAAGACATAAGAGAATGGAATAACACAATGTTACAACATCTAGAATAATCAAAACTAGAAGCATACAAATAAACGTGCGATTTATCAATCGCTTTATATCCTTTTGAAGCAGTTCACAAGAAGATATCGAACTCACAGCTTGAAAGATTTACAATCTAATGTTGGGCTTCTTCTGTGGTTTAACTTCCCCTTCTTTCTCTTTCTTGCTCACATCACACATGTAACAACTCACCAACTGAGCTCCTTGTCTATTTTTTCATAAAGATAGCTGTTTTTATGCTAATCTGACAGCTGCATTCAATTTTGGCCTTTCTCACGGGCATTTATTTCCCAATCACACACTCATTCATCCTCAATTGTGCACACATAGACACACTCTGTGGCCTGGCAAAAAATTGATTTAAAATGCTACCATAATCTTAAAACACAAGACATGATTCTGTCTTCAAGCATCAACATCTCCTGCTCTGAACAGACCACTTTCATTTTGAATTAAGTCAAAGTCATTTTCAAYCATCAGCTCGACTCGGCTACTGTTGTGGTGCTGCGAGGCTCTTTCTTAATAGCCCGGTTATTAGAGCCACTCTTCTATCTGCCAGGTCATGGTTTAACCTTTCATAGAGCTACTAAAGACATTGACATGATTCAGAAAGACAGGAAATAACTCGTGTAGAGGATACGAGGAGGGCATAATTGGCCCTCTCAGTCAATATTGCTGCCGTGCTCTTTGAGGGCGCTAATGAAGCACAGGAGATGAGGAGGTGTCCGTTTGGCACGCTGGTTTCCTGGACATCAGGGACACGAGTTCAAGTTCGCAAGCATTGGTTTGTGTTTCTTTCTAAGAGGTGAAACAGGCAGTGGCAGTAAAACTGAGTAATTGCTCAGCATTAGGAGGTAAGCGGCTCTGCTTCCTGCCTCTCTCGTTTTCGTTGAATTTTTCCTCCACTCATGAATTGACACGAGTGTGCTCAAACTCCCAGATGGAGCTGAGGAGCTGTTCAAGAGTGATATGTTGCTTAGAGCTCTGCAAAGTCATTACTCAGCACAATAAAACTCTCAGACTGATGGTGCCCCATGAACACGCTGCTGATGCCGGCTTTACTGTGTTAATAATATTTGTAAGTTGACAGTTAGTGATGCCCGCCTGGCATAAACTTGTTATTGTAGTTACTGAAATGTTTGATTTGTCCCCCTCTTCTTTTTTTTTTCCTGTAGCGGGAACAACGTACATATTTGGGCGAGATGGTGGACTGATCACGTACACATGGCCACCAAATGACCGTCCCAGCACAAGGGCGGACCGGCTAGCCATTGGCTTCAGCACGCACCTAAAGGATGCTGTCCTGGTGAGGGTGGATAGCTCCTCTGGCCTTGGAGACTTTTTGAAGCTCCACATTGTAAGTCAAAAAAAATCTTTGAATAATCTTTTTTAAAGTGTATTCTTTTGTATGCAAAGTCGAAAATATAGTGTCACACTCCACACTCAGAAGACACAGACATTATAGTTTATTTTTTAGTTACTTTCATTCATATCAGATCAAAACTCACAAGGATTGCAATATTTGGAGGATTTTCAAAATTGGTAACTTTCTATAGGAAATAATGTGCGGTTATAGTAAATGAACTTAAAATTTAAAATATTGAAAGTTGGTCTTTATGGATTTTAGAAATGTTTGGGGAAATTTTACTTGCTCTGTCAAACATTGAGAGACCCTAAAAACAATTTAATTTGCTTCAAAATGCAGTTTACCAAAACTGTTTTGTTTTATAAATAAAATTTAAAAATCACCAAAATACTGTTAAAATTACATTAACTAACTTTTTTGGAGTTACGAGAATATAACTTGGTATTTTCTATGTAAATTTAGACATTACATTTGAAGAAATTTATTAGTTATACTGATTTAAAAGCACCACACCATTTTGTAGTTTTCCTTATTAAGTATTGATTCTTATAAACTATTGTGTAACTATTGTAATGTCTTGATTAAAATAGTTTTAGTTACATGCCTGAAACACCACGACAAGACATAGATAAACTGTTAATAAATCACAAGGAAAGACTTTTCTGTGTGAGTGCCTGAGATTCAGCCATAGGCCAGTAGGGGGCGAATCAGGCACTGAAGAACCGTGTTATGTGGGGGGCACTTCCGGTTTCTGGGCAGCGATGGTTTGTTGCTTCTGCCGTAAGCAATAAAGCCATCGTTCAGACTCCAGCACTGGGTTGTATGGTCATTCTCTTCACATTTTAATCTATTCGACATTCGTGTGTTTTATTCCTGGTTTTGTCATGATTTCACTAAACAAACACTAAATTTTCTTACACATTGATATGCAATTTACTAGCCTGGTAAAAACCAGTCCCCTTGTTCCCCCCTTGTTTTGCTTRGTACAGAAGGTCTGGACTCTTGGTTATTAAAAAGCTATTTCTTGTTGGAGGCATGGCCTCTGTTGAAGTTTAAAAGCATTGGATTTTATTTACACAATGGCTAACATTTGGCCGTGACATACAATATGTAGTGCACCAGCTCGACCGTGAAAGAAGCTAGGCTACGAAGCTAACCGAAAATTGCGTGCGCTGTAAACACTCATGCCCTACTGGGAGGAGAGAAGTACCGAGCTGAACGAGATGGCTGTAAATGAGAGCTGCAAGCTTTGTGAGGCAAATTTAATTTAAAAGCCTTGTCAATACGAACTGGCTTCATTCACTTCCTGTGCTGCCAATGCTAAAATACAGGCAGACTAAAACGGTGCAGAAAATTGACATCTTCATTCACAACTTCTCCTTCTGTTCGTTGATTGGCCCGGTTGAAAATCTACCAGAGAACGGGTTGTCTATGGGAGAAATCCCAGACATAGCAGTGAAGGGAAACTAGAGTTGAGAGGAACTGTGTAGAAGGCAAAGGCCAGGCTAGCAATATACTGATTTTTTTATGCCAATACAATGGTTGTTCAAAGTTATGTAAATGAATTAAGAAAATAATTACAACAAAAAAGAGACCTGTAAAACTGTTCAAAACCTTTGTTCTGTAAAGGTTCTGTGGTTGTGACACAGTGATGTCATCATCTGGAAATTAAGTCTTTCAATTTGTTTCGTCAATAAACTGGGTTAAACTCAATATTTTTCTGTGACATTCCCCAACTAAACTTCCCATGGAAAGTTTCTGGAAATCTATTTAAAAAAATGTTTTGACTCCTTTGCAAATATAAACCTCACCAACATAGATCTAATGTATGAGAGGCCCTTTATGTGAGAGCAAGTTTGAATTATGGCCTAAAGGGCCTTTCATACTAATGTGTTCATAGCTTGATTCAGTGTCTTCGGTTGCTGGTAATAAAAGCTGATAAATAAGAATTAGAGTATTAAACAGATTTGATTAAATGATTTTGTTTTCATTAAAAAACACCAACATCAGCAGACTAATACCGTCATGACCGCATCACCATGCTTTACTACGTTACGGCTCTTATGTGTGTACATGAGGAGTGGAGGGAAACAGAGCAGTAATAAGGGCAGGTTCCACACAGTGCATCTGTGACCTGGACATAATTCTGCTGGCTACCAGATGACCTACCTCACTCTAGCACCAGCACTGACAGCACCATGTACCCTGGCCAGGAACATAAAGGAACACCGAACACATACACAAACACATACACACAGAGAGAAAAGCTGAACACAAACAAACTTTAAATTAATCTTGAAGTTTGCAGCAACCTCAGCTGGCCACACACACCAAGCTTTACACATACAATAAGCATGTACTAGCTGCTTTTCCATTGACCATGAAAATGCGCATATTAGAATTTCGAAAATAAATTTGCTCAATGGAAACACGTCAATTTAGACAAAAAATTGCGTTTTTCGACAAAATGTTTTTGCGCTGGGATGAGGTGGTATTCCGACCTTATCGCAATTGGTGTTTTTCGCAAAACTGCAATGGAAACACTTTTTTCGCATCACGGGAGTCACGTGATCACGTGATCAACAACCGGCTGTTTCTACTGACGAAAAAGACGACTACGAAGAAGATAACAGGAAGTAGAAATAGTAGTAATATCACAGAAGTAGTAAAATAAAGTAGTAAACTCACCGACTACAATTTCCCAAAAACACAGCATACGTAGCCGCTCCCAAGTAGGGACTTGTCACTGGAAAGCCTCAATAAAAGACGCCAACGTCTCCTCTGATGATGAGCGCTAGTGTCGTGGTAGCAACATGCTATGTGTTTACATCCATTGCCACCATGTTTGTAATGACTTATCACGAGAACGAACGTATTCACGCGTGACTTTAATAGCATTTCTTACTTAATGGAAACAATGCAGTTGCAAAACTTTGTTTTGACATTAACAGAATATCGACAAAGTTTTGTGCACATTTGCAATGGAAACGCAACTTCTGACACAGGCAGGCCTTTCCTGAGGACACATAGCYGGTGTGATGCTGCTCTTTTCATCCATTAAGGTTTTGTTTTTCTTTTTGRACACTTTGCTCCTTGGGCCCAAGTCGTTTTCATGTTTTAGCCTTAAAGCAGATGGTGATTTTCTAAGGATTAAATGTATTTGATGCAGATCAGTCATGACTAAATGCCAGACAAGATGTCAAAATAAAATAAAATAAAATGACTGTCATTAAAGGGCACATGTGCTTACTCAGATTATAACCCTCATGCATTCTGCTGCTTTCTGGGTTCATTTCCACCTGCTGGAAAACCTCCTGAAACAGGCATAAAAGAACAATGGATTTCCTAATGGATTGTTTTGTAACTGATTTTAAAAAAGTCTTGTTCTAAAATGTTACAGTTATGGCATTTTAGTCTTTATTTACAAATTTGACACYGTTTTGCTTTCTTGACTTTACATTTGATGTGATAACATATTTCACTTCTTAATACTTGAGGCTGTTCAAACAGGAGACATTTCTAATAAGAAACATACATTTATTCTGACAGAATTATAAGGCTGGAGTGTTGTTTCAGGTTCCTAGTGTACCAGTAATGAATGCTGTGGGTCAGAGAGGTGAGACCCGTGAACTAAAGAGGAGGAAAACCTAAAATCAGATGCACACATAGCCCTGTTGATAAATAAGTAGCATACCGCTGACATTTTACAGGGAMAAAATGTTGATAAGGCATGTTCTCAGTGCAGGGGCAGTGAGTTGTGAGAATCCTCTACTCTCGCATCAGCAGCCTCTCTGAATGTTCCTTCTTATTTATTTATTTATTTCTTCAGATTAATCTGGGAGCTGTGTGAAATCCTGAATGGTATTAGAAAATGAGACAGGCACAAGAGAGAAAATAGTGAAAAGGAGATGCATGGGAAYACATGAAAACGGGCATGAAAGTCACATTATTGATTGAACCAGTTAGCTGAGATGAAGAAAACAATTCCGAGCTAATTTTCGCATTAGAAACAAAGTTGTGTTTTAATACATTTAAACTGTCACTTCTGCACAAATAAGTGTTTTACATGTATGTATGTTAGCTAGTTAGAGAGCACATTTTTTTGTCATAAGAACAATTTCCCACCGTTCGTGCTGAGACCAAATCAAAAAAGAAAGCGGAAAATTAAATCACAGTGTTTTATAAAATTGATATACTTATACACACCCTCTAGATATYCATTTTGTGCTCCTGTGATCTTATTAATTACAGAGGGACGGATGTACTTTATCGCACTCCATTAAACACAATGAGTTMTGCAAAATTGCCGCTTTGATGTGTTTCTCATAGAAGAAAAGCAGCGTTCATCAGTAGTCACCTGCAAAATCCTTATCTATGCTAACATTCATATAATGGGACACGTTTTATGATATAATAACACTACATTGACCGTGTAGTCTAATTTGCCATAAAAACTGTACTAACYGCTTGGTAATTTCCCTCAAATTGATCAAAATTGCATTTCTTTTTATATACAAATGTACATAATGTGTCAGACTGTTGCTTCTCTTGAATGGAAATGTAGAAACTAATCTTTACAGTCCAAATGGTGCATTTTAAAGTGCATTATCATTCATGCCTGTCTTATTCCTTTAAGTGTCCTCAGCTCTGAACAGAAACGTCTTWGAAGGAATGTATCTCCAGCTGTTTGAGATTGGATTAGACCGGAATTTAGTATTTACCCCTCCCCCCCTCCACAATCTCCCGCTCCTATTTCATGATGACAGGAAAGCCAGCGGGGCTTGAAGGATGCCATCTCAGCTCTCACTCTTTAAGTGGGA